ATGGGAGCTCTTCCACTCTACTAAGATACGTCAAATTGCCTATGCCAAAATCCAGGTATATATCTCTTATTTATTATAGCCGCATGCATGTTGTTACCATTGAGCATTTACATGTCAGTGGTCTCGGATTCGAAGCACAAGCATACCTTCCCCTACCCTTCCAAACTTTGAAAAAAAGAGCAGCACAAATAATGCAATTTTAATTGGGAAAATAAATGACGTATGGTTTAATGGTGATCAGGGGAAGAAGGGGCTGGTAAGGCATTTTGAGACGATGGGGTTTCCATGTGAATCAGAAGATGTGTTGCCTGTATCTTTCGAGCCACCTCGAGACGGTCTCAGGAGGCGGGATCTGCGCACGACCGTAGGCAAGCTCATTTTCCGCGAAAAAGAAAAGTCTCAGTAGTGGTTGGAGGCCATCTCCTCCTCCCCTAATACTTGACATGACAATTATGCAGCCTTTCGATCCTCCACGTCATTGTCATCATCTTTGCATGCGCTCCCTTCCTTCCATGTCATATCAATGCAAATATCCATCATGATACTGTGGGCCCACGTCTAGTCTCATCTCTCTCTCTCCACCGTTTGATCTTTTCGTATTTAGTTGCCTTCAGTTGGGATTTTTAGTTCGGTTTCATTTCAGTTTTATTGTCAGAAGTTTAATGAGTCTAGTTGTTTTTCCTTCCTTCAGTTAAGTAGGGATTAGGGTAAGAATAGTAGGAGTGGTTGTACTAGATTGTGGCCAGGGTAGTCTGTAGAGATGTAAGCTTGTCTTGTGTATGCAAAATATGTGTCTGTAGAGAGGCCAAAGTTAGTGGGGGTGGAGCTTGGCACCTGGACTTCATCATGGTCCCGATCATTATGAATCTGAGGGCCAAGAGGGCTGGTGATGGGCTCCACCCTCCAGAAATTTATGGCTCCGATTGCCTTGTTTTCCTAGGCAACAGTGAAATAAGAAATTGCTTCTGATATTTATCTTTTGTATATTTTACTACACTTTTTTTCCCTTCACCTTTCAGATGCTGTGCGTGTAATCATGTAAACTGATGCTTAATTGTCTACTTTAATATAATATAAAACTACGCGAAAAGGAATTCGAACTCAGTTGCAGTGGGGAAAAAATGGTCTGTGTAAACTGTAAAGTTTGTAAGAGTAGGGTACTGTTAATATCCAGTAGGGTACCAGATATGGTTGGGGCAAGAGGGGGAGAAAGTAATCAAACGGGATTTGAGGCTGATTTTGGAGGGGCATGGTTTGTTGGTTCTCTGAGTCTCTGATTTGGGAGAATGGCCTACACTCTACCATATATACTATAAATAAGTTTTAATAATCTGGTGATGGGATTTAATTCTTTCTTGTTTTGAAACAAGTAGCCGAAAAGCTAGCTTTTTGTTTCCAACTGAAGCTGCAGATTTTGTAAAAAGCCATTAATTTTTTGTTTTGTTTTGTGATTCTCTCTGGGATTTATTTATTTATTTTTATGAACCCTAATTCGTCTTTTTGGGTTTGAAAAGTTGAGCCACTTTGTGACTGTCTTCTTCAAAACAGTGCAACCCTAATTCACTATGCTTTTATTTTTCTTAGGTCTTCTCTTTCCAACTATACAATTTTCTGCTAATTAATCTTTTAAATTTGCATCCGTACAGATAATAGTCGGAATAAAATTTGATACTTTATAAGATCCTTAATTTTCATCACTTGTTTGTATGCTTTTGTGAAGTATTTCTTTATTGTTTCGTTTTTTCATTAAAGATTGTCATGTTCGTTTGGCTCTTCTTATGTTCACAGTTAATTGATATTTTGTTGCTCTATAATCTTCTGAGATTGTCAGAATTGGTTGTTCAGTTACAAGCCACCACTAAATTTCTCAGTTTTAAACCCGTTTGGTTTACGGAAAAGATTTGATGGGAAATTGTTTGTGAGAAGGTTATCAAGCCTTCACTGGGATTGAATTACGCTTATCAAAAAATTTATCTTTTATGGTGAATGATAACATTGAAATAATTCTAAGAATAATATAGAATTTATATATATAAAAATATGTATTAATAAGAAAAAGTAGAGAAAATGGGATTTAAGGACTGATTTTTGCTGTATTTTATGCTTTCTCAGAGTGATTAATTGATTTTGTTGTTGCTTCATAACATTCACTAAAATTGAAATTTTTTTTTGGCTGTATACGTTTAGAAAATAAAAATTTATCTTACGATGACACTTAAATAATTCTAAGAATATTTCTATAAAAAAATATTCTAAGAATAATAAAGAATTTAGAAAAAACAATACATAATAATAATAAGAGAAAGTAGAAAAAGAAGGGGATTTGAAAACTGATTGGTGTTGTAATTTATGGGTTATTTAAGATCACAGTGATTATATTGTATGCAGATTTGAATGCATGTTCATGAAATAAAGACTGAGAATCTGGAAAAAATAACAATTTGGAAGAGATTATAATGTGGGCATGGCCATGAGTGCATAACGTAGGTGTTCCAAGTTTCAAAACACACACACTCTCTCTCTCTCTCTCTCTCTCTCTCTCTCAGTTGTCAGCTTTGGTTTTTGGGAGGTGGAAACGTCAAATTGCAGCTGGATCGTCAGTTTAGGGTGGTGTGGGTGAGCAGTGGAACTGTGGAACTCAAATCGCCTTTGCCTTCCAACATTATATAGGCGGCGGTGTTAAGTACCTCTCACAGGTCTCAACATATATATATAATCATTATTGGCAAAGGAGTATTAGTAATATTTTTTGTTGAAAGAAAGCCAATTTTCCTTGCAAGTGGTGGAGCAAAAATTTTATTTCATAATAAGGGAGCAATCTTATGACGTGATTATTTAATGGATAATATTAGCGACATCAAATTTGTGCATCAAAATTGAATACCAAATAATGTGACATACTCCACATCATCATTTTCATTAAACTATTTTCCAGCATGTATTCGTTAAATAAAAATGATTAACTTCTAAAATAATTGAATTAAGAATGAAATCGAAAAGTCAACTAATGAAAAAACCAATTCAAGAGCTCCATCCTCTACTCTGATGTCTGATCCCTTTTATAAGAGATGAATTTCAACGTACCAGCGAACACATGTGACACTTTAATTATCAGTTTGAATGAAAGAAGCTTGTGTTTTTAATTCTCCTTCAACTACAACACAAACGAATATTAGAGTGGAGGGAGGGAGAGGGAAGAAACAATCATGGTTTAGCTTTGATTGTCTTGTACAAGACTGTTCATCACCATCATGATGAGCGGCATATATCTTCAATTTATTTTTCTTTAATTTCTTTAATTTCCTCAATTTATTTTGACCCTTAAAATGGGATTGCTTGTATATTCATGAAGTAGAATTCAAAAATTCATTTTTGTCGGTAAGATCTTAATGATGGCGGTGAGACAGATGGTGATACCATGGTGTAGCAGGAAGGTCTAGGTAGCATGACTGTGTGATTAGGCTTTCTTGTTTTCTTTTTGATGCAAGGGTTATTTTTATTAGGGTTAATTAACTTTATTTTTAAAATAGTCTTTTACCCAAGCAAAGTAACGATTCATAAAAAAAAATATATATAAAATTGATAATGTGGAGTATGCTACATCATTTGGGACTCAATTTTGATGTTCCTAACATTATTATTATTTAATTTACTATGAGAATTATTTTCACGTGTTCACTATTACACGTGCATTGAAAGTATTTCGTGGTTTTTGACTTGATTTGGGTTTATTGACACATATAGGTGAATGCAAGGCGAAATTACAAATTTTTAACGGGTAGGCTAGCTAAAGTTATTACATTAAAATTTAATAATCACTTTTTTCTTTTGGCACTAGTTTCTATAATCTTTCTAGATTAAAAGTATACATTAAATCATATAAACTACTCTAGTTCATAGGTTCATCGATCAAATTCCAATATATTTTTCTTTTTATACAAGTAATATTAGGGGAGGGGAGAATCAAACTTAGAACCTCGAGTGCAGGGCTAAATGCTACTTTTCAATAAGCTTTAACATAAAACCAATACATATTTTTTGAAAAAAAAAAGCAAATACATATTAAATGCAATAAAAAAACACATATTATCAAAATGAAAATATGTTCAACAATAGAACTAAAAGTATACCTATTTTAATGTGTAGTTTTATTGTTGTTATGCAACTAAATTTATAAAGAATTGCAACAAAAATTGCAACTAAATCTAAATCATGCAATACTAAATCTATTGCCTAAACCTTAAACTAAATTTATTGATGTTAGACTCAAACAGTTTTTTCCTCCAATCATGCAATACTCAAAATTTGAGTAAGCACTTTTATTAATTTTAAAAAAATGATGTAACCCTTTTTTAAATTTAGTTTTTCTTAAGTTAATTTATGTTTAGACCATTTTTATTTATTTATTTATTTGTGAACATTTTAATCAATAAAAATTAAAAAATAAATTTTTAATTCAGAAATCGTGGAAGGAGAATAAAACAAGAAAGAGAAGAAGATAAAATATAACATTTAATTGTTTCATCGTTTCAAAAATTTATTTTTTGGATAAATATTTTAATGTTGGAAGAGTTAAGATAACCAACTATTTTAAAAGGGCACATGGTGGGCTAAAAGGGGAAGTGTCTCACACACACACACACACACACACACACACACACACACACCTTATCTTCATAAAAAGAACTGGCCGACAGACTTAGGTCTTGCATTTTAAGGTGTTTGGTGACAATAAAAATATCTCGATTATTTTAAAAGCAGTGGCCTTTTGACAACAGCTTTTAAAAGCAGGTTCTAGATTGCTTTTCAAAGCTACTTTCAAAATAAGCAAAGATGAACCTTTAATGATTTTTTTCAATTCCCAAAATACCATCATTAATTTTTAAAAATGACACCACCTTTATCTCTACATGCAACTCCACTACCGCCGCCACCACCACCACATTATTGTCCTCATCCGCTACTACCACCACGACCATGCTGCCACCACCACATCCTTCTCAACCTCCACCACATCCACCTCCACAACCGCCATCCCCACCACCACCACTACCACAACCTCCACCTCCACGTTCATCATCACCACCAACACCAACACCAACACCTCCACCATCACCTCTTTTACCACCACCTTCACTTCCATCTCTTTCACCACCACCACCACCTCCACCACCACCACAACCACTACCACTACATGATTACCACATAACACTTTCAACATCATATCTATTTTAGTAATTATTCACAGTTACAACAGTTTTATACTAAAATTTACCAATCGGTTTTGACACTGCTTTTGTACAAACAACACTTTAAAAATATTGTTTACCAAACATGGAGCTGCTTTACTTTACAACTAATTATTTTTAGAGCACAGCATAAGCAACTTTTTAAAAAGTGATAACAATCCCAAACTAGCCATTACATGTAGGATGTAGTTAGGCTCCATTGCTAGAGATGGCATAAATCTCTGTTGGGTCGGGTCCCTATCAGGTCCCCAACCTTAATGGGGGAGATCTCGGGGGAAAATCAGGGGTGGGTACGGAGATCCATGAATTTAAAAATTCCTCGATCGGAGACGGGCCAAGGATCATATTGCTATCCTCGAACTTGACCCGATAAGTAATATATTAATTTTTAAGTAGTTTATAATATAATATAACTATGTATGACTATAATATATTATAATATATTTAGTTTTGTCAAATCGAATTGAGATTATTTTGAGTCAATTAGTTGAATTTTAGAATTCAATTGAATGTAATTGAGTTAAATAAGAATTTAAAGATACGTGTTTATAATGTAATATGAATATTTTTTAAATACAAAATTGGAAATTTGGGGCTAGTTTGGGAGGTAGCCCCATGACGGGTACGGGGACGGGAATTCCTCGAAAATTCTAATAAGGGATGGGGTGGGGTTGGGGATGGTATTACCATAACCGGCCCCGAACCGGCCCGTTGCCATCTCTATCCATGGCTCTTCAGTTGGCTGAGTAAACCAACGAAGCTGGGCTCCACCATTTACTACCCTGATTGAAATTTGGTCTCAAATTCTGCCTAAAAAAGCAGTTAGGCCAAATTACCCCTCATGATATATGAGTTGGAGATATTTTCTGGACTAAATTCCAAAATTTTGGGTTTAAACTTGGTCTGTTGGAGATGGCCTAATTAATCTAGAGAAAATTGGTTAAAGTTTAACAATTTTCATGATCCAGTAGCATAACAGTCAAGGATGTTCCTAATCGTATGTGCATGTTGAAAATACCTAGTCAAACGTCATTAATCATGATACCATACATCAGGTTGTGATACACTCCATAATCCAGTTACAAAAATGATTACGAAATCCCAACTTTCCCATTATCTCATGTGGGATGGACCGCTCAACTCTACCATATCATTTCGCTATGTCTAGCATAAACGCAATGTAAAATTGATTGGCAACACTCTGCTTCTTGAATGTATAAACCACCAAAATATTATCCATGATTTATTGATATCAACAAGAAGTGGTGCTCACTAGTAATATGAGGCAAACTCCCATTCAAAACTATTTGGCCTAGGGATTCCATTGCTAATATTTGAAACACTGCTTCATTTGCCTCCACCATAGTCACAGGCTTTACAAGCCTCTCATTATGTTCCAAAGTCACTTTTGGAGTCCCATACTTTAAGATTTACTCCACCTCAGTGCTAACTGCTTGACACGCTCTCATTTCCATGCAATACCCTATTCCCATCCCCTAAACTACACAACATGTTAAAACGTCATCATTTCACTGTTCTACAGTGAAAGAACTTTGTGTTCTTATCCATGTCCCTCAACCATTGAAGTCAAAATTTCGTTTTCCAAAATAACTTTTCCTCATTGAAAAAATCCTTAAGTCGACCCTTTAATGTCATGACTATTTGGCGATCCCATTTTATTTTATTACCAACTAACATAGGATGACGAAACACTTCCCAAAATACATGAGAAACCAAAGTTGTTAGATGCCAGGTTTAGACCTTACTCTAATGGAGGTAGCAAACGTACCATAATTTGAAGGGACACAATTAAGCGGGTGAGCAACAAAGTCTATATCATCCAAGAGAAAGCCTGCAATAGCTAAGCTATAAGTTGTGCCTTTGACAAGTTTAAGCTACTCGAACATGGTCAAGGGCACACGACGCTTCCATGAGTTAGATTGAGAATCGAGATTCTAATCACGCTCTAATGAATCATATGAGCCTATAGATCACATTAGGGGCTTGACATGAATTCCGTGCCTTAATAGTATGATCGAGAGCATTGAGTACAAAAAAGACGGTATCACTCGACAATTCCAACTGAATAGATTCTCAACCCCATTTTATATTGGCTTAGGTAGCCGTGACATATTGCTAGATGTCACTCATGGTTTGTGGAAGCCCTGAGGATACGTTATAACCTAGTCATCATAAGGGAGAATTAAAAGGAGTTTTAATTCACAATTGATCAATGAGAGTTTTGGATCGCCCGCTATCTTGTTGATTAGAACCTAATGGATTGCAATTGATAAGGTTGGATGAAAGGAAATATGTATGATGTGCATAGACTTACCAATTTAATAGAAATAAAAAATTAAGAGGATGTGAGAAAATGGTAGTTTGGGCCTAAACAATAAAATCGGGTTCATGGCCCATTGGGCTTGAACCTATTGGGATAGTCAAGTCATGTATGCATAATAAGATGACCACATGATCACAAAATGCCCAGTGAACCCACATGGCCAGTTTTGCCAAGGGGAGACTTTGGTCTCCTCCTTGTGTGTTATAAATGAACTTTGCCTCTTAAGGTAAGTTAAGGTTTTTGAGCTAGTTTCAAGAGAAGATTAAGAAGACCATCAAGCTCTTCCCACCTAGCGAAAACCGGCCACCCTATGGAGAGAGCATTGCATCCTCTCATCCCTGTTACATAATATCCTCCTCATTTCCTTGGTGTGGAAAAATTAAAGGTCATCTCTCTTGGTGATTCTTGGTGAACCATAAGGCCTTTCTTACAAGGTGATCAAATCAAGGATGTCAACCTTGAGTAGTGCTTCAAGGGTAAAGTTTCTACTATTTTCTTCTCATAGTCTAGAGTGTCTAAGAGAAGAACAATATAAACCAAGCCTTAAGATACTTGGGGTTAGTTTTGTTAAAGCTCAAAGATTCAATTTTTAGCTTCCGTTGCCTTGAGGTTACAAGTAACCTCATCTTTGTGGCTAAATCAAACTAAAACTTTATTGTTTCCTTCAATCTTGTGATGTTGGTGAACCAACATGGGGTGGCCATTAGCGTTGTGTTTTGATAAGGAGATATTCGAGGAGCCTGTGCGTCGAAAGATAACAAATGAGCACGAAGATCAGTAAAGTCAGGAAACAGAGGAAAATTGAGAATTGCCGGGACGAGCATTTTGTAATTAGGTCCTAAACCCCGGAGCACAGTGGTGACAAGTTCTTTTGGGAAGACAGGTTCATTGATGGCAGCCAGTGAATCGGCAATGGACTTAGCATGATGAAGGTAAGCATCAATGGGTTGAGAGCCTTTTGCATATCCATGATTTGAAAATGAAAAGCAGATTCACTGGCCATACTGGATTGAGAGAAGTGGCATTGGAGACACTCTAGAGATCTCGGGCAAAGGTGCAATCGACGATGAGAGAGAGAATGAACTCAGAGAGTGTACTGGTGATGTAGTTGATAATGAGTTGGTCTTGTTGGTACCACTAAGCATGGGCAGAATTGGTTTGGGTAAGAGAGGCGGTGGTGGTTGTGGGTGTTTCGGTGGTAGAATTGGAAGTTTGGGTAGAAGGTTGTTTATGAATGCCATTGATAAATTTCCAGAAGTCATGACCAACTAAAAAGGGTTTGAGTTGGCGGAGCCAAATGAGATAGTTGGAGTCAATAAGCTTGATAAAATGAGAAGAGTTGGGGCTAGGGAGGTAGATGGTGGATTCAGACGAAGTCATGAGGTGGACCTAAAAGAGAGGATTGGATCGAATAAGGGAGAGGGAGGAAACCCTAGGTAAGGCTGATACCATGTAGTGAATATATTTCCTTATATTAAGCATATTACACAAAGTCCTTATTTATACTCATACAAGAAATCTACTTAAGGTATGAAATAATATAGACATGAATATTATCTAATTTATAGTAGGAAAAGCTGATTCCTATGAGGAGATTGTGAAGTTGACTTTCGTGTGTGCTAGGAAAGGAAAGCTGTGTTGCCACAACATTATATATGAGGATATTAGAGAGAGATGAGTTTATCCATATTTTACAATGGTGATCCTTCTTGTGCTATTAAATAAAGCCTGGATTTTTGGGGATAGCGAGTGAGCAAGTTGTAGTAAGAAGAAGGTGAGGCACATAAGTCGGTGATCCAATTATGATGGATAACATGTCATATCTTTGGAAGATAAGGTTGAATAAATCTTTCTATAAAAGGTAATTATAAAGGGTTATTTGATACGGACAAGTGAGGTAATATGTTGGGTTGCAACAAGAGGAAGATATGTGTGAGAGGTTACATTAGACGAAAAGAACCTTTGAAGATATGAGAAAGGATTGGTGGCATCGTGTGATGTGATGGTGATTGCAAAAAGAGAAAGAAATGAGGTAAGGCCTTAGGAGAAGAGAAATGAAGTAAGGTCTTAGGAGAATATAAATGAGGTTTGGAGTGTAGTGAAAGAGAAAGTGAGAAAGAGCAAGAAAAGAAGCATTAGATATTAGAAGCTCTGATATCATATTGAGTTTTTCACTAAAGAAGAAAGAATGATGGTAGTGTTGATGGTGCAAATATTAAGGCCTATTGTTTAAGGCTGAGGGGATATGCACCAATACATGTCGTCCTACTTTGTGTTGGATTAGGTGTGTGTGGGTGTGCTTGCAATGATTATCCTGTGATTGATGATGATGTGGATGGATGGATGGATGGATGTGTAGATTGTGCATGTTGATCTGACTTCGCTCAAAGTTATTGTGGCAGAGACAGGAATAGTTCTAGACTGTCAGGTTCATGACTTGAGCTACAAGGTTGCTGATGGTGGTGTTGGAAACGACGGTCAGTGGATTTGGATGGTGCTCCAACACCTCGTTGGATTGCGAAGGTTGTATGATATATAGGGTGGATGAAAAAGTAATCGGGATGGTGCTCCAACGCCTTGCTGGATTGTGAAGGTTGTATGATATATAGGGTGGACGAAAAAGTAATCGGGGATGGTGCTCCAGTGCCTTGAAAATCAAGGGTCGATTGATATATTGATGGATGGAAAATTAAGTTTACCATTACTCCTAGGAAAGCATTTAAAAATGTTGAAGGTGCATGACAAGAAAGATAAATGACAGGAAAAATATAAATTGCTCCGTAGTAGGCTTAGTGCTGAACCCTTTGAATGTTGCTGGGGGTCTTGTATGTATAGGGGAGAGTGAGGTAAGGGCTGGCAAGGGCAAGGACTTAGGGAGCTGTATATGCTTTTCACTTTCGGTCGTGGGCCCATTGGTCAGCTGGCTCTGGATTTGTTTATTCTTTATGGCTTTAGTGACTGTCAATCAACACTTCTGGAGATAGTGGACACGTTAGAAATCTTACCCTTGGCCCAAGATTATTCATGGCCAAGGCCGAATTCACAGCCTTCGTCCTAATCTGATTGGAGGATGCCAAGGCTTTGGATACATGCCAAAAGGAGCATCCTTTGTCGTTTATTGTTGGTGGTAAATTCTTGTAGCTCCATTGACATATCTCAACACATCTGCCTTGTCTTGACGTGGAAAGTCTCTTTATTTTCTAGAATCCTGTTCCAGATTTTCCTCAGTATTATGCTTTTCTAGAAATCTCGCTCCAGGTTCTCCTCAGTACGTCGCCTTTTGTGTTCTCCAATATCGTGGCCACGTCATGGCGTTATCTCTTAGCTGAAAAATTGACTGTGACCTGGATCATGACTAAGCTCACTCGTTGAAAACTCGGCCAAAGGCTCCGATGAAATGAGACTGGTCTTGGGTCGAGTTTGTGCATTAGGCCAAGAAACGGCCATGGCTCGGTCAAGGATTAAAGACAACTGGGCCCTTGGACCAAGATTTTGGCCTCTGGGCTCTAGACATGTCCTCAATATTTATTGGCCCCCAGCTAAAAAAATCTAGGTATAAACAGGCATGAAAGAAGAGCTTGTATTTTTTATGTACTATGGCTGTGGTTTATTACATTTAAAATTGTTTTTAAAAATTTAACACATTGAGTGACTTTATATAGTCTTAAACAAGAAGTCTATAGAATTGGTACAAAAGAATAAATAATCCAAGCCTCTCTCCCCGCCCAACCCCCCCTGATGCTGAATTTGGTGGACTTTCTCTTATTGTGCTTAGGGATCAAGGGGATTAGGAGATGCTGTGATATTATTTGGAATGTCCTAGTGGAAGTTGAGCGGTTATGCCCTCCACTCTTGTGGTGTTTCTTGTCCCATGAAGTTTGAGAGTTTGTTCTCTGTCTTGATCTTATTTAAGCACTGATTGCTACAGAATTAGGGTCCTCCTCATCTGTAACTCTTTGTTAGCTGGGGTTCAAGTTGTATATTGTTTTCTAACTATCTTGTAATACTGGTGCTTAGTTGTTGATGTTGTTTTAGTCTCTGTATTGCAAGAACCTCATTCCGGGGCTGTATTTTTAATGTTGTATCCTGGGTTTGTGCCCAATTCTTCAAATGAATCTCTGCTGTTTCAACAAAAAAAAAAAAAAGAAAAAAGAAATATGCCTAGGCTCATCCATATCATTTCCACGTTGGTGTGTCATAAGTTGGCTGCTTGCTGGTTGGATAAGCTTGGGTGCAATGTTGATGGGGTGTCTTCAGTGTATCTTAAATTTGCATCTTGGAAACAACTCTCAGAGTTTGGTGGCCCCAAATTTACTTGTCGTCGCCAAAATGCCTCATCTCTAGAAGCATACGAGGCGTCCCTCTCGTGGTAGGTTGTAAAATCTCGCCTCATGGTGGGTGTCTTGAAGCCTATGGTTATTCATTTGATTTGAGACTATATCACATAAACTTTCCTTAACAAGATTAAAAATGTGTTTTTATGGGGCATGAAATTCAACATAAAGGTTATAGATGTTTGGATTCGATCACTGGCAAAGTTCACATCTCACAACATGTTACCTTAGATGAACACCACTTTCCCTTTCACACCTTATCTTCACGCGTGCAAAACCACCATCTTCCTCTATACCACCTCTCATCCCTTTACCAATCATCGCTTGGCCAAGTGGTATTTCTCTTATAATACTGGAAGATGTGTCAAAGTCCGAATCATTCATCCCTAATATTGAAAAATATTATATGTAATAGATAGTGATATTGTTGATGTCCAAAAACATTTGGTTTTGGCGGGATGCACCTAAATGGTATTTGACAGTAACGGTTATCTCTTCATGGTCCAATTCTTTGTTGATTTTGCTTAGTTAGATACGATCCAAACATATATTATTGATAAATTGGATGCATTTTGATTTATATTATTTCACAAACTAAACGATGGAATATGAATAAAAATCATTCTCTTATTACAATTACTAGTATCTCCAAACATGTGAGGCATTTTCCCCATATCTTAGAATGAGGTTAGTATTGACATTCTTAACGAATCCATTTCGTGAAACAAACTCTACCTAGTAAAAGCGGTAATTTTCAAATATAATATGACAATTGTCATAAAAGGCACGGCTACCTCTCATTCTGTAAGTACGAATCATAAGTTCCCTAATTGCAATGTCAATGCACTTTTTACAATTTTCGCTAAAAAGATCCCCAATACATTTAGTCGCACCATAAAATGAAATAACTTTTGTTATTTGTAGCTTCCCGCGAGCATACAATGTTTGGCCAACTATTTTAGAATATATATGGGCTAACAATTCGTGAACTTTCCCATGCATAAAATACATAAATAAGGGATCACCGACGATTTTGGTATTTATCCCATAAAATGCATTATCTGTGTCAGTTACATTTAGAAAATTTGCATCTGAGTATTTTAAGAGACAACATGCGTTGCAAAATATAGCCCCTCGAGTGACTAGACATCGCTTTCGAAGCTCTTGGCCTGCTTCAATGATACATTTTATGCATAGTGTCTCGTGGTTGTTTCTTTCATAGATTTAGCTGTGCTGCTGATAACTCCACTGCGATATCCTGAATGTGATATTTCTTTAGACAATACAGTATTAGTAACCTATTCAAGTTATCCTCAAAGTTCTCACTGACTTGAAATTTTAGTTGATTGAAACATTTGTGTCCCAAAATACGTCCTCCAAAGGTTTTATGAAGAAAAATAGTGTATAAGAAAAAACTTAGAAGGATTAATGCTTTTGAGTATAACATGTTCAAAAATTGAATTTGGATTCAATTGAACTCTTAAAACAAAGATATATAGGGGTCCAAGAGATCGGGACTGTTATATATATGACGATCATGAAAAAACCCACACTTTTCTATAACTTGGAATTTACTGACTCGGATTGGAATACGTTGCAAATGAAGTGAAGCTGAGAAACTGAATAGAAATTGTACAATGATGAAAGTGAAAAACTACCGATAGTGAAATTTGGCCTAAATAAACATTACGAAGGGTAAGTGTTGTTGGGTAAGCTAAAAAAACTAGAGCAAATGGCAGCAGCCTCAGTACTAGGAGCCCCAACCTGTCACCGGCTCCACTGCCTCCTCCACCGCCCATCACCGCCATCTTCTTCCTTCTCCCTTTTTCTCAAACCCATTCTCATCTCCACCACCACCGTCTCCACGACTCCATTCATCCCACGCCGTAGAATTATCTCTCCTTCCGTTCCTTCCCTCCCTTCTCGTCCTCTCTTCTTCTGCCACTCTTCCACTGTCTCCCACTCTCCTCCTGCCCCCAAAGCCTCTTTACAAGAAGCAGAAGAAACCGAACAACTTGAAATTCCAGAAGATGATGATAACGATAATGGTGAGGAAGCCGAGATTGAAATTGAGAACTTGGATAATAAGGAAAATGCCCAGGTGGGTTTGGAGTCTTCTTCGGGTTTGAAGAGAGATGGGGTCAAGCCACCAAGCCTTACGGTGAAAGAAAAGAAGGAACTTGCGTCCTATGCTCACAGCTTGGGGAAGAAGCTCAAGTCCCAGTTGGTGGGAAAGTCCGGTGTTACAGCCAGTGTTGCAGCTTCTTTTGTAGAGAATCTTGAATCCAACGAGCTTCTCAAGGTAATTTGTTCATATATGAATTAGTGCTTTTCTTTTTAAAGAAGAATTTGGTGGTTGAGTTAGTACCCAGTTGGGGTTTAAGGGTTTATGCCAAAATTGAGGGATTTTTTTTGTGCTAGTGTGAAATTTGTCTGCTGCTTATTGATGAGGCAAGTTGCATTTTCTCTGATTTTTCATAGAAATTGATTGAAGATAATTGAAGTCTTATCTTTTTTCTTTTTGTCACAGAAGTGTTTACATTTTTGGTTTCTCAATTTAGGGAGTAGAAGATTGTTGATTCTGATATTTATGGAATGCATATGGGGTAGCTTTCTTACTTCTCTTTGAATATCTAGTAGTAAGGGGTTTTGGTTAATAAATTTTGAAATCTCAAATTGAAGTGATCTGATGAACTCAATATTCTGATAGGGTTGCCCATCTACTTGCTAAACATGTGTTGTTATGTCATGAGATGTCTGCTTGATGATTCTGCTAGCTAGTGCTCTGTAATAAAATGTTGTCTTCTGATAAAAAGGTCATAATTCTAGGCTCTATTGATAGTTTGCGAGGATCATACTGAAAACTATTTTGCACATACTGGACCCGAATTGTTTTAGGATTAGGGCTTTGTTGAGTTGAGTTGAGCTGATTTGGAATTAGCTCTTGATGACACTGCATGAGGCACAAGCTTCCCTTCCAATCATTTACTCCAAATTAGAAGAAAGACCTTGTACCATAGTTTATAACTGTACAATGTTTGTAGCATACTCTATGGTTTAGACATTAGACTTTAGAACCTGATATGGAAAACTCCCGAACGGCCCTCCAAGGGAAGGTAGATGTAAACAAAGACTAACTTGGACAAGATGAGTTCTTTTCAGAAAATTATCGTAATAGTCTGTATTTCATTTGTTGTGTGTCACTCTGTTTTCTCTCTTTATTTTACTTTTACCAATTGAAAGTGAAGAACTGAAATATAGGTGTGCTTAGCTAAACATAGTGCCATTTAATGTTGTGAACAGGTAAAATACATGGAACATGCCCGGGAGAGCTAGACGATGTGGTGAAACAATTGGAGGAAGCAACTGGTTCAGTTATTGTTGGTCAAATTGGTAGAACAGTGATTCTATACAGGCCCAGCCTCACCAAGTTGAAAGCAGAGGAGAAAAGGCAGCAGATGCGGAAGGTATTTATGAGACGAAAGACGTATTCGAGACCCACATCAGTGGAATTTCAGAAAAAAGGAGAAAGACCAAGAACGTTTGGGCGTGATAGCCGAGGAAGAACTAGGGTCTAAATTCCTGTCACATTAGGGTTATGGTAATATTATTCTGGAACTGTGTTGACAAGGTTCTGGGGGAAGGTGTTCTTACATTCTACCTTCAAATCTTTGCATTGTGCGGATGCTGTGGAATTTTTGTTGCAAAGTCAAATTTAAACTGAACCTAAAAAAATGAAATTGAAAGGTAACCTGGGATCTTGCTGAAAGATGGTGCATGTGGCCATCGGTGACCATAATGGCAAAGGGTCTTCTTGTTCTCTTCCCTAGTATCAGAAAAATTGAGTCTTTACTTCTAATCATTCTCAACTTAGAAAATAAAAAAGAAAGGCTTCTTGGAATCATTTTCTAAATTATGTTGGGTTGTAAAACTTAATTAAGTGTGAATATCAAATTGTAAGGCTTAAATAGAATCCCAAATGCAAATGTTACTTCAAATTATATAAAAAATAGGAATTGGTTTCATCATTGAACTTGTTCACCAATTGGATTGATCAACACCCAATTAGTTTACAGATAAAAACTGTGAATCCTTTTCTAGTCATTTATGTATGGAGCTTCTCTTTTCTGTCTACAGAACAATTACAACAATTGATCAAAAGAGACCGCAGCTGCTTATAATTACTTTCTTGACGCCAACATTGCTTCCATCTGCTCATTGGATCTTGAAGTAGAACCTTGAACGTTCCTAGACACAAGAATAGTGCCAACCTCATTTTTGGCCACTGGGATATTGCGCATCTAATGTGATCATAATTGCTAATCTGTAAAATGATAACACTGCAACATGAATTTGATCCACGCCGAGATGTTACCATTTAGCTCATATGTTCATATGATTCCTAGATTACACAGCTCTTTCCAATTTGTAGTGGCTCATATCTTCAGAGAAAAGAATGCCATCGGGGGATATCAGACGTCGTAGAGAGAGGAAAAACCGCGTCTGCCAATGAAAGCTCTGTATTCAGATAAGTTCGAATAGGTAAATATTTAGACATGCAAAGTCATAGAGATATTGGTCTTTACCCATTGGAATGCTACCAGTGCCCACCAGCAGCCTGCTAAGCCATATCCTCTACTGCTCAACAGCTGATGAAAGAAAAATGTGGATGCATAAAGAACCAATAACTCTTGAAGTAGACACCAAGAGATTTAAAACAGATCTTACCAGCAATAGAAGTCCACCTAAAGAGAAGCATCCGCTCATGGACAGACTAATAAATTTTAGATCTCGTCCAGCCTGCAAAAAGAAAATTCTGATGCCCGAGAAGAAGTTTGTGCCTATGATGTAAGAGAGCTCTCTATAGTAATATAATAAAATAAAAAACAATAATTCGAAGCAAGTTTGGATTCCATGGCATTCAAAAGAGGGTCTTTCTTTAATTTGTAATTTGGATAATCAGCAAGTAGCACAAGATTTAGCAAAACAATATAGCTTGTTGAGCATGAGCTTGTGCTGTCAGATTTCAAAAACAAAAAGAAAAGCCTACTTCCAGCAGAACAGAAGTTCCGGAACACTAAGTGCATAAATAAGATTTGGGAGACTTGTGTATTTCTCTCAAGTGGTTATTGTTGTGATAGAAAACACCATGGGATACATGGCAGAAGGGGATGAAATGCCTAACGTCCCAGTGAACAAAAGGCCCAAAAGAACTGAATTCTATCATCTGGGGAAAGGTAAACCATAGGCCAAAAAGTGCATCCCTTGTCCAGCAAAAGCAATGGAATGTCGTTTTTTTTTTTTTTTTTTTTTTTTTTTTTTTTTTAAGCCATATGTTCTATTAGCAATGACAATACCTGGAAAATCTGAAAACCTCAGATGGTGACGAGTTGGGGTATATATTAGTCTGATTTTCCCAAAGCACAGGAGGAGGAAAAAAAAAAAAAAAGGAAAAAAGAAGAAGAAAAGTCCCTTAGCTCAACAAGCTTTCAGTTCAAGTAAGATTAAGTCCTATTAATAGAGACAGAAAATTGAGTTCGCTGAAAGGTAGTGCATGTTTCATGAAGATAAGACAAATCACAAGGAGCATCCATCAGACGTTTGACCATGCCACAGAAAGTAGAATCCCATTCAAGTACACAACATGACTATTAAACTTATTAAACCCTTCCAAGAGAGCTTATATTTCACATTTATAAACAGGATGAACTGTTCAGTATTTCCACTGGAAACACAGTGCATACATAACTCAAAAGTTTTCATCAATCTTTGATCTAAAAGGTGAGCACAAGATGTGCAACCAAAGGCTTATAAGAAGAACATTAGAAAAATCATCATTGAAGATAAATTGAACATACCAGCAATGTTCCCTCAAGGCTGTGAGTGGGGGGAGTCACAGCTAATGCAAGAAAATATGGTATCAGCACCTTATGCATCTGCATTAACACATAATAGAATATCATGAGAAATTACACTTGTGGAACCTTTTACAAGTTATTACAACTCATGACCAACGGACTTGTAGAACCTTTTATCAGTTATTCCACTTTTTCATGACCAATGTAAGCCATAGGTGAATAATCAATATGCATGGAGTCAAAAGTTTGATATAATTGGAAGAATAAGTGCTGATGATTCAGTTTAAAAGCAGTTGTCACAACCCTCTTATACTATGTGTCTGGTGGAAAGCTGTAAATATTATAGAAGGATCAATACAATTTATAAAGGAGCTGTACAACCCAACTTGATTCTTTCCTTGATCAAGATACACAGCAGCACCTATAACTAATGGCAACAAAAGAAATTTTAATTAGAAGACTTTAACGAGTTTAAGAAAGCAAAGACCAACCTCCTGTATGATCTTCTGATCAGGTGTAAAGATATTGGGAAACAACCATGGAACACATGTTCCAATGATACCCAATACCGAACCAAGCATACCTCCAATGATGACAAGTGACTTCAGCAGCATTCGAGCCTGTTCGTATCATAAAACTTTCAGAAGACAATGAACAAATAAACATTAATATAGATACAGATTCTACATAGGAATAATCTACATTATATTCATTGAAAGGGGAGTATCCGTTGTAATTTATTTGTCCACACCAAAATATACACGGAAACTCTTCAAATCTCAAACAGTACAACCAAGATAAAAAATTAGATGTCATCATATCAATAGAATGTTAAGTAGGACACACCTTTGCCAAACTACGATTTACTCCATATATAAACTCAGGCATAAATGATTGTGCAGTTTGAGAGAGAGGTTCACCCCACACCGTACACATGCAGAATGTTTGAATCATGACCTAGTAAATGGCAAGCCATCAATGCACATTACCATCTTATCTCCAAAAGTAAACCACTACTAACATGAAATTTGACCAAAACTAACCTGATGAGCAGCCATGGTATTTGTTCCCATAGATGTTGCAAAATATACAAGGAGGGAGTAGAAAGCAACCTATGCATCACAATATCACTATTAGAGAACAAAATTATATTTTAATTAGGATTCCAAGTTAGTTAGAAAATTTTGGTTGCCTAATCTGTTCAGGGGTGTGATCTAGTTTTTCCTAAAGTGAGTGAGTTGGTTGTTATTTAGTTTCCTTTAGGCCGTATTCTATTTAAACTAAAGCATCTAATTTTCTCCCTTATTTTTCGGCACAGTATCAGAGCATTAGACCTAACCTTCTTCGGGAAAAAATATTTCTTTTTCTGGACAAACTTAGCTATGTTATAAATAGGTTGTCATAATGTTCTCCAAATTGTTTTTTGTTTTTGTTTTTTTCCCTCTCTCCTTTGTTAGTCTAACCGTTTGTTCTGTACTTACAGTAGTCGACATCCGTTGTTCATCGTTTCTCATTGTTAATCATTAGAAGTCTAGTTTTGCATCATCATCTTCGACATCTTCACTAACTACTATTGGTATTTCTTCTTTTCTATGTTTCTGATTGTGATCCACTGATCCTCATAGGACTCCTGCTGTCCCCTTCTGGTCAGATCTTGTTGTTGGATGTTCCTTTATTGGTTGCTCAAGCGTTGTTTGGGTGCTCCCTAAGTTGAGTCATGTTTGGTTGCTGAATTTATTAAATGTAGTATTACTATTCAATATTTGTTCATAAAAATTTAAAATACATACGTATTTATGAAGTTTTGGTTTGAAATTTGTGATGATAATGCCATCTAGTCTGAGTATTTAGAAGTTTTGTCCCTTATCAATTTAAGAGGGAGTGCAAGAGTATCGATGATGTTTAACGAACAATGAAAAATGAGAAAATCGCATCAGACATGATAAAGAAATTTAAAAGAGTAAATTGAACCTTCGACATCATTGTCACAAATACTGGAGCAGCAAGCCCAAGTACTGTCAGAAGTTCCTTGGATGAGGGAACAGAGATTGCATAGCCGTTGTATCCTTTATTGTTGAGAGCTTCAATCATCATATATCCTGCAACAACCTATTTAATACCAGTCAGTAGTAGTGGAAAAGAAGTTAATGTGCCAATAGGAAATATATTAATATGTTCATCTAGCATACCTGTGACACCATTGTTGCCCATGCTGCACCAGCAATACCATAGCCTAAGAAGCTACACAGGAGCACATCACCAACAGCATTTATGGCACTAGCTACAGCCAAGGCCTTCAAAGGACCCCAGGAATCTTTCATGCCAAGACTGGGAAACAGATTGAGAATATCAGAGACTGAACATGAAGTAACAGCTGCTCACAATCTCATTAACCTCAGCACTTTCCTGCCAGAGATAACCTTCCCTTAGGCAATAAATAAGTGATTCAAGTCAAAATAAAAAATTTCCCTGATAAAAAGTCAAATTAAGAGTGCTCGTCTCATACTTGTTTCTGAGACAATGAGACGTAAATTCATAAACTTAATTATATCAGTTCTCCCCCAATAGAATCAATATCCCCTGTGCTAAACAGATATTAAGGCCTTTACCATATCCATTATGTAGAGCAGTTGCTAATTATTTTGAACAAGGAGGACAAATAGAGCTTCTATCAATTTACTTATTCACTTCTATATCTTTAAATGGTTAGAATTTTATGCTGCAGATAATGCATGGGAAGAGATATAGTAACCTTGCACTCTGAGTAACCCAACCAACAAGAAGTGCAGGCCATGCCAATCCTCGTATCTACCAACAGAAAATAATCAGTCAAATTACAAAGTAATTTTAAAGAAATCAAGACAGGGATTCTTCTACTGGTTGTAGAAGAACACAATGTAGAAAGATATGTCAAATGATCATCAGTTGTAACAACATAGAAGCAATCAAGTAAAGAAAAGACTCAGTTTTGATTTCACCTACTAATGAACAACAGGACATTATTAAGAAATTACTTACTTTTCGAGCACAAATTAGTGTTGCAGAAACATTAGTTTGGACTTCCATCACAAGTATCCATGCACATTAATAATATTAAAAAATAAGACAGGTTCTCATTTATGTGGATCTTCTGTATGATAACTATGAATAATGGCACTAAACAAATAGAAATACCTCTTAGATCAAATAACCATGACAAGATAATGCACAAATTCTACCAAAAATCTCATTCTCACGTGTACGTATATGCCTAATGACCAAGAGCAAACGTAAATAACAAAAACGAAAAAAAAAAAGAAAAAAAAAGGAAAGACACCTGTGTTAGAATTCTGGGTTTGTATATGTATTTTCAGATTAGGAAGAGGTGTATATTCTGGAGATTTTAGGTAGAGAGAATGAAGAGAAAAGTGGGAAGGCACTGTTCCATTGAATTCTTACAATTTGCAGCTTACATAGTGTGTCTGACAGTGAGAGAAATGTGATTCTCTCATAACAGAATTACAGCTGTCACCCTATTAGGTGCTTACACGTGTCATACCAAATCTAAGCTAGAGAATCCACCTAGACTATGATCTAATGGTTCTCATTACATTATTTAAAATAGACATAACAGAAAATAGAAAATGACATCAGCTCTAAGAAATCTGTAGAAGGATTATATTTCAACACTCCCTTCTAATCCTTTAGCTGATTTCACTCCAAGCAAGCTTCTCAACCTCACAAACCGATCCTTAGGCAGAGCCTTAGTCAAAATGTCTGCTATCTGATCTTCTGTCTTGCAGTACACCAGTTCAATTTCTTTTGCTTGAATGGCTTCCCTTATAAAATGAAATTTCCTGCTGATGTGTCTTGTCTTTTGGTGATGGACTGGATTCCTTGCCATTGCAATTGCAGAGGTGTTGTCACATAGAATTGGAGTCCCTTCTACCTGTTCTTCACCAAAATCTTCAAGCACAAATCTGAGCCACTTAGCTTGTGAAGTTGCTTCTGCAGCACTCACATATTCAGCTTCGGCTGTAGATAAAGCAACTGTGTTTTGCTTGATGGAAGCCCAAGAGAACATGCCTGAGCCTAGTGAGAAGGCATATCCTGAGGTGCTCCTCATATCATCCTCACTCCCAGCCCAGTCACTGTCACAATACCCAATTAGAGTAGCTGTTTTCCCCTTTGCAAACTCAATTCCAAAATCTGATGTGCCTTGTATGTATCTCAGCACCCGTTTAGCAGTTCCCATGTGTTTCTTTGAGGGATTGTGCATAAACCTAGCAAGCAAGCTAGATGCAAACATGACATCTGGTCTTGTGGCAGTCAGATAAAGCAGACTCCCTACAATCTGTCTGAATTCACTTTCATCTGCTGCTTCACTTCCATCTTCTCTACACAGTTTCTCATTCACCACTAATGGAATTGCCACTGACTTGCAGTCTCTCATTCCAAACTTCTCAAGAATTTTCATGGCATATTTCTTTTGATGAATGAAAATATGCTTATCAGTTTGTTCCACTCCCATGCCAAGAAAATGGTGCAACAGACCCAAGTCTGTCATCTCATAGTGTTGCATCATATCTTGTTTAAACTCTTCAAGCATTTTAGGACAGCTTCCAGTATATATAATGTCATCTACATAAAGTGAGACAATGATAATACCTGAGGTGTCACTTGTCTTGATATAGAGAGTAGCTTCACTTAAGCTCTTCTTAAAACCTGCAGTGTTGAAATAGGCATCTATTTCATCATACCAGGCCCTTGGGGCTTGTTTCAGTCCATATAGAGCCTTGTTCAACCTGTACACCTTGGTTTCCTTGCTCTCTTGAACATATCCTTGAGGTTGTTCAACATAAACTTCCTCCTTTAGAATGCCATTGAGAAAGGCAGACTTCACATCCAGTTGAAATAGTTTCCATTCCTTTTGTGCTGCAAGGGCTATCAAGGTTCTGATGGTGTCAAGTCTTGCCACAGGGGCAAATGTCTCATTATAGTCGATTCCAGGCTTCTGTGAATAGCCTTTAGCCACAAGCCTAGCTTTATTCTTCTGCACAGTACCATCTAGGTTCAGTTTGACCTTGTAGATCCACTTAACACCAATTACTGGTTTGTCAAATGGCCTGTCAACTAATTTCCATGTATTGTTCTTCTTAATCATCTCGAGTTCAGCCTCCATTGCACTTCTCCATGATTCATCCAAATCTGCTTCTTCAAAGCTGTCAGGTTCTACAATGCACATGTTGCATTGTGTCATGATGTCATTAATACTCCTCCACTTGTGAGGTGTGTGATCAAACCTTTGAGTCTCATCAAGCATTTCTTCCCCTTGAGGTGCAATTTCTTCTTCCATCTGCATTTGAGTATCCAAAAACTGAGGTTGATCATCTAATACCCTCTGTTCAGTTTCTGCAGTACCTAGATTTCCATCTGGCATAGGCACTCTCACATCTGCATTGCTAGGATTCTCCCATTTCCATGAGGCTTCTTCATCAAAATAGACATCCCTAGACAAGATAATCTTTCTAGTCTTAGGATCATACAGTCTATAGCCTTTTTCACACAATCCATAGCCCACAAAAATGCATTTTGACTATTTTCTTCCAACTTGTGTCTCAAAACAGAAGGAATAAGCACATGACATAGACATCCAAACACTTTCAAGTGTGCAATACCTGGCTTTCTTCCTGTGAAGGCCTCAAATGGTGTCACTTTCTTAAGAGACTTAGAGGGACACCTGTTGAGAAGATAGACTGCTGTAAGAACAGCTTCTGCCCAAAACTCATACGGAAGTCTTTTTTCATGTAGCATAGACTTTGCCATCTCAATTACAGTCCTGTTCTTCCTCTCAACAACTCCATTTTGTTGAGGGGAATAAGCTACAGTCAGCTGCCTTTGTATCCCAGCCTCACTGCAGTATGCAAGAAATTCATTTGACATGAATTCTCCACCTCTGTCACTTCTAAGTGATTTCACCTTGTGTCCACTCTGCAGTTCTGTCATTGCTTTGAACTTCTTGAAACATTCAAAAGTATTAGATTTATTTCTGAGAAAATAAACCCAAGCCATTCTTGTATAGTCATCAATGAATAACAGGAAATATCTGTTTCCTGACATTGATGCAATCTGCATAGGACCACAGATGTCAGTGTGGACTAATTCAAGTGGAAACTGAGCTCTCCAAGTAGATTCTGCAGGAAATGAGTCTCTATGCTGCTTTCCCAGCTTGCAGCCTTCACAAACTGCAAAATCCTTCTCCAGACTAGGCAGTCCATGAACCATGTCTTGATTTGCCAGCATCCTGATGCTTTGATCATTAAGGTGGCCCAGCCTTTTATGCCAAGTCTGCAAACTGTGAGTCACACTTGCTCTCAGCACCAACTGAGTAGCAGGTACCATTGTGAGAGAGAAACACCTATTGGTAGTCATTGGAATCTTAGCTATAGGATTTTGCAGTGACCAATCATCAAAAATTGTCACCATTTCCCTTTCCAAATACTAAACAATACCCATGTTCCATCATCTGACCAACACTGAGCAAGTTCTCTTCTAAACCAGGCACCAACATCACTTCTTGAATGTGTTTTCTGCCTGTCTTGGTTTCTATCACAAGTGTGCCTTTTCCTGCAACTTGAACTGTCTCTCCAGTCCCCATTTTCACTTTGGAAGTTACATCCCTTCGAATATCTATCAACAGCCTTTCATCTCCAGTCATGTGGTTACTACAACCACTGTCCACATACCAAGAATTGTTCAATTTCACACCTGTCACGGCATTGCATGCATAAAACAATGTTCCAGTTACTTCAACCTGATTGGCATAATTCACTTTCTGCACAGATTGATTTTCATGGCAATTTCTAACCATGTGACCAAACTTTCCACATCCTCTGCATTTTGGTTTTCCTTCAAACCAGCACTTGCCATAGTGCAGTTTTTCACAGTGCTTGCAAGGTGTTTTAGTTCCATCATTTGATGCATTTGGTTTGGGATTAGAATTGGACTTGTTATTCCAATTCTTCCCATTTTCCTTCCAGTTCCTCTGAGACTTGTTACCTCCAGAAGAACTTCCATTCTTAGAGTTTTTACTCTCTATGTTCAGGCTAGTAAAAGCCTTTTCTGTGGAATTTTCAGTGTGCCTATCCAACCTGAGTTCAAAGTTCTTGAGAGATGCAACCACTTCTTGAATTTCAAGAGTGTCAAGATCCTTTGAATGCTCAATCACAGAACATATAGAGTCATAAGATCTAGGCAAGCTAATAAGCAATTTCTGCACAACTCTTTCTCTAGGTAACTCTTCACCATAACTTTTCATTTGATAAATTAGATCAAACAGTTTAGCAACATAACTAGAGAATGACTCACTATCCTTCATACGAGTGTATTCAAACTCTCTACGTAAGCCTTGTAGCTTCACACTTCGTACCTGTTTATCGCCTCTAAACTCCTGCTTCAGAATATCCCATGCACCTTTTGATGTTTCTTCATTCACTATTCTGGGAAAAATTTGGTCTGAGACTGCACCTTGGATCAGTCCAAGTGCACGAGCATCTTTCATCAAAATCTCAGCCGATGTAGACTTCTCTTCTTCAGCAGCTTTAGATCCTTCTTCCTTTCCTTTCTTTTTCTCTGGATCTGAAGCATCAAAACCATTTTCAACCAAATCCCACAGTCCATGAGATTTCAGAATGGTCTTCATTCGAATGCTCCAAAACTCATAGTTTTCTCCATTGAAAACTGGTGTACGAAGCTCAGAAGAGCTTGATCCTGCCATGTTAGACATCAGATGCAGCTAGAAAAGCTTCGTGAAATTTGAGTGAGCTCAACGTCAGCTCAGCCAAACACCAGCTCGATTCTCACAGATTCACGCCCAACAAACAATCGAAACCTGGCTCTGAGGCCATGTTAGAATTCTGGGTTTGTATATGTATTTTCAGATTAGGAAGAGGTGTATATTCTGGAGATTTTAGGTAGAGAGAATGAAGAGAAAAGTGGGAAGGCACTGTTCCATTGAATTCTTACAATTTGCAGCTTACATAGTGTGTCTGACAGTGAGAGAAATGTGATTCTCTCATAACAAAATTACAGCTGTCACCCTATTAGGTGCTTACACGTGTCATACCAAATCTAAGCTAGAGAATCCACCTAGACTATGATCTAATGGTTCTCATTACATTATTTAAAATAGACATAACAGAAAATAGAAAATGACATCAGCTCTAAGAAATCTGTAGAAGGATTATATTTCAACAACCTGAACATATGTATTTGCTGCAGAAATAAGTTCCACATTCTTTGACCCAGAAAAGGCTGAAAAGCAAGAATTCATAAGTCAATAATCATCTATGCTACTTTTCGAGACTTGAAAACCTCGTACTATCTGCTATAAAATGCATAAATTAAACAATTGAACAAAATCAAGCACTTCATCTTTCAGCAACATAAAGCTATCTAAAATATGTATCTGTCCTCATTACCCGTTAGTGCCCATGAACCAAATAACCTTGTAAATAAAAGCATTAAGATGCCACAGGTCAATCCAACAAAGAGCAAATTAGATATCTGATGTTGCACTTCATTTTTATCCTGCACCAATACTAGATAGTCAGAGAAATACAATAAAAGTCATGGAAAATAGTGATTAAAGTAGCAGATGAATCCAGCATGAGCATTCATAAGTATGCATAACAGAAGTTCGTCTCAGGAAAAAGAAAAGAAAGAGAAAGAAAGAAAACATGATTTGATACCAAAGCAATAAATATAGTCTGTTACAAATTACAATGTAGTGATAACAAATGTACACACTGACAGTGCATGAACATCTCACAAGCAAAACCTCATGCCCATGCTCACAAGCAAGTCATCAGCTATCATTATATTTGTTCTATTAGAGAAGTCTTGTAATGTATTTTCAAGAAAAGACCACTTATCCAATGGGAAAAACTTGTCCCCACCTAACTATGGCCCTTTGAGTTAAATCCATTTTCACAAATTGACTGAAATGACCACACCTCCCCGGACTGCATCGTTGTCTTGGAAAGACTAATATATCAGCAATCATGAATCATGTTTATAGAATATGGGCACAAAAATACCCAAAAGATGAAAGTTTCATGTCTAACTCATTTTCTTATCAACACCTACGCAATGCACACTTTTCCAATATCCTAAGAGAAACTAACCTGTCTTGCAAGCGAAGTGGCAACCATGTTTGAAGTTGCAATAGAAAGGAACATGAACACATAGCTCATATAATCACACAATACAGTTCCAGGGCCTGCACAGAAAATAGTAAACAGAGCTCAGCTAAATTTCCACCATTACCTAAACAAAAAAACAAAAACAAAAACCCAAGTAAATTTGAACTAAGTACCTAAAGCAGCAAGCTCAATAGAGCTTCCCTGACCAATGACCACAGTATCTATGAGACTCATAAGTGGGCCACATATCCAGAGCCCTGTGGCGGGTCCCGTAAACATTGCAATCTCCTTCATTTGATTCCATAGACTCGGATTCTCCAACTCTTCCTTCTTCACCTCCACAACTTCTCCAGACACCGAAGCATCATCTTCCCCATCTTCTACGCTACGATTTCCGGCGCTATCGTCGAGGTTTTCGCTAATGCAACCTGTGGTGAACCCATTACGACGTCGTACTGGAGCCGAGAAGAGTAGTTTTGGGAGGCGAAGTGTGTGGGTAACGCGTGAAGTGAAGGAGAGAGATGGATTGCTGAAGAAGAGCGAAGGTTTGGAACGAGAGCTGTGGGTGGGGATTTGGAGGAGACAGGAGTGAGGAGGGTGAGCTATCAGGGTTTTGGTTTGCATTTTTCTGTCTGCTTTGCGGGAAAATTGGGCAGGAAAATCACCGCCCGGGAAAGAAAAAGAAAGGAAGAAAGTTTGAACCAGAGACGACGACGAAGGCCAACAAATTTGAAGAGGAAACCTTGGTTGGGTTAACTCCACGTGGAGGGTTGGGGTCTTTTCTTCCATGTAGGCTTTTTGTTGTAGCTTTTTATTTTAGCAAATTTAGATTATATTTTTTTAAGTGAAAAAAGGTACAAGGAAGAATCCTCTACCAATCTTATAACCATACATTCATAAAACAGTTTTGTAGATGGAAATGGACGAAAGTGGTAAAGTAAGAAAATTTCCACAATTTTTAGAGATTGTAGGATAAATAGAGAAAATTTCAGTTTTCAAGGGATAAAGTGAGATCGAGTCCGTTCTAGGGGTAAAACAATAATCAAGCCTTAATTCTATATAAAACGGATTTGGGAAAACTTAGGGCCCGTCTGGTAACGTTTTCGGAGAATGTTTTCTTAGAATATTTTTAGAGAATGAAAACAAGAAAACGAATTTGCATTTTCAGGAAATGAAAATGCGTCTGGTAGATTAATTAGAAAACATCTTCAGAAAACAAAAACAATGAAAACGTGTCTGGTAGTACAATTTGAAATAATAATATGTGAGTTCTTTTATGAAAATGTTTCCCATGAGAATGAAAACAACTTTTTTCTGTTTTCTACAAGTACACATGAACTTGTTTCATTTTATGAAAACATTCTCAGTGTTTTCTGTTTTTGGGCTACCGAATGTGTTTTTGCCTCATTTTTATTTTCTGAAAATGAAAACAACCCCTTAAAACATTACTGAATGGGGCCTTAGATTGATACCAAACTGAACTATTGTTTTGAATTTTTTTTAAATAAATAAATAAATAAAATTGGGTGTTCCTTGAACTTTTTAGTGTAAGCCCATTTTTAGATTCGGTAACTTTTAATCTTGTAATTTGCATACTTTTGGAATTTTGAGATCAATTGCTAACTCAGTTAAAACTTAAGTCCAAAAAACAGCTCGGTAGTAGAATCGGAGAAAATAGAGTTTTTTTTTTTTTTTTTTTTTTTTTGGTATTGATAGATGATGGATTGATTGGGGGGGGGGGGAAAACGAATCTAGGACCTTGGATGTACCGTAAATGTTTTTAACCACCTACGATATAAGCCCCTTACAAGAAAAAATAGGGGATTTTAGACACATAAATTGGAGTTTTAAAATATAAAGTTCGGCTCGTTTTTCCAAAGTCAACGTACTCGACATGTCAAAAAAGCCAGTGTACAAGACATGCCAAAATTGGAAAATCACTCAAATCTCACAAATATGTATTTGGCTAAAAAAAATCATCACACATTTTATGAAGGTAAAATGGTATTTTTATTAGCAACTGGGTGTAAAATGAGCAAATTATGAGGTTCAAACAATTCGAGTTTTTTCCAATTTATCAGTATAATGATACCTCGTTTTCAATGTTGGAAGAGGTCCCAAGTTCGTGTTCTCTCAACCCCATTGATTAAAAAAAATAAAAAATCGAACACCCTTTGAATCATAAATTAGAGACGAGAAAGTAATTTTTAATGTTTTCGAAAAGCCAAGCAAGTATGATTATACACAATTTATCATGAAAGAAGAACATGAGTAGGACTGGCAATGGGTCATGCCATGTTAAGGTAAAGCTACAACTTGCGTTTTATTAAGGCAAAAGACACTTGTAGTCCCCTTGGTTTCCAACTTTTACCACTAGGGTCCCTGTCGTTTCAATTTCGTCATTTTTGCCACAGTGGTTTAAGATTCCAAGCAATTCAAGGACACTTCTCAATTTATGTCAGATTTCTTTTAGTTCTGTTAGGGCCTGAGCACGTGCCCCTCACATGGCAGGGCATTACTTTCAAATTGACCCATGTTATAAACCTAAAACAATGGCTCAGCCTTGCCCATTCGAATTTGGCGATTTTGGGGGAAGTTTGAGAGATGTCGAACTCTGGCCAAGCTCCAAAGTGTCAATTCTATAATGGCGAAATGAGATTGGGAATCTCCAAGAAAGATAGGACTCATGGGAGACGTTTCTAGAAATGCACGAGATTTTATGTAAGTGCAAATTTATTTTGTCAATTTTTGGGTATAAATGGTGAATCTGGTTTTTGTGTTAGTAATTTTGGAATTGTGCTATGCAGGGAACACTTTATTGTGCTGGATTTATTTGGGATGATGAACCAATTAGATTCAATCAAGCAAGCAGAGAGAATGAAGAAGTGAGAGGAGATGAAGGCATTAATGGCTGCTTGGAAGATGAATTGATGAAGCCCAAACAGTTGCAAGACTTTATTGTAAATTCCCTAAATAGAATTAGGGATTTGTTGCTATTGATTTGTGGATTTCTAGCATTAATTTATGTGTTGTTGATCAGATTGTGGTTATGAAGTTGGTAAAAAATTAAACGTTAGCACCATTCCCATATGTTATGTATTCTGAATGTTGTAGTATGTAAATTAAATGTTGTAGCTCTTTTGGTTTCAAAATTTACAAAGAATGTGGAATGGAAGCTTTATTTTGATTCAAATTGCCTTATTGAATTGACATTTGTTTCAACAGAGATACTGGAAGAATAACTTCTTCAATCATTATCATAGTGATGATAGAAATAAAGGAAATTCTACAGCAACAACACAAATCTTGTTACAAATATCTCAAGGTTAATATCAAGAAAGCTCACCTATATATAACACATAAAAAAGAAAAAAAATGTCACCTATTAACCCAATCACACAATAGATACATGATACAGGGGCAAGCAACTAAAGATAGTAAGCAGGGAACTTCCCAAACAATAAAACAACAATTTAATATAGCTCATTTTGTATGCAAATTCAACCTGGGCCAGTACATTGCTGAACACTATCAAGTGAAAGGACAGAAGTTTGAAAAGAGCAAACTTCCTAGAAGAATGTAGGCGCAGAGTATGCCCAAACTATATATCCCCATCTCTTAACATTTCTCACATATTGTTTAGCAAATTAAGGAATTTAGGATGAAATAAAGTCAAACCTGCACATGCATGACAAAAAATGTTGTGGCTGCCATAAATCCCAAATGTAGAATACATGGAAGTACATCAGCTAAAAAACTTCAAATGTTCCAGCAACTAAAAAAATGTTGTGGCTGCCATAAATCCCAAATGTAGACATGGAAGTACAGCAACTAAAAACCTTCAAATGTTCCAGCAACTAAAAAAATTTAGAATGTTAACAAATTGCTGCTCCCATTAAATTCCAAAACAAGTCACTTTCAATTCCAAAACAGCTTCGAAATGCTATTACATAACAAATGTTCTAGCAACTAAAAAACTTCAGAATGTTAACAAATTGCTGCTCCCATTTAATTCCAAAACAAGTCACTTTCAATTCTAAAACAACTTCAAAATGCTATTACATAACAAATGTTCCAGCAACTAAAAAACTTCATAATGTTAACAAATGATGTCATATTCAAAACATGCAGGAATTCAAAATACTTTAACATTCAAAAGATGCAACAATTGAAAGTTCAACACTTCAAATTCATAAGTTCCAGCAATTGAAAGGTCCAACACTTCAAAATATTTATATATTCCCAACTTCAAATTATATTTCCAACTTCATTACTTCACAAAATAGTCAAATTTGTACTTCATTCACTTCCTTGGTACTTTCCTAGGTGGTTACCATGGAGCACTGCTGCTAACTCCCAACATTCTTGGACTTTGCCTTGGAGTTGGATGCACATAAGCAGATGGATTCATAGAGGCAGATGCGGATAAATTCACATAGGCAAAAGCATATGGGTTCACAGAGGCAGAGACAGATAGATTCATAGAACTCAATACACCTTGCTAAAGTTGCATGTGATGAGCTTTTCTGGATATGCATTGAAAAAAATAAGTTTACTAATCATTGTAATATACATGAAGTTGGTAAAAAAGAAATTGCAAAAATTATGAACTGAAACTCATAGGAAGCTTTCTTTTTTGCACATTCATTTGAGAACCTCTTGCATTCATTTCATAAGTAGATGCATTGGTTTCAGAAACTCTCTTTTTCTTTGAAGGATACCCAGTTGTCCATCTTTTATCAATATAAGTTCCAGGTGGAGGGTCTTGTGGCTGATTCTTACAATTCATCTTATTGTGGCTTTTTTGAAAACGTCTAGTGCAAGTAACAATCCTTTTTCTTCTGAAATTTGCACCTATGGCATCAATTGTCTTCTCCATCTCATGGTCTTTTTTTCTACTTCTCCTTGGTCTCCCTGGTTGTTTTCTAACAAGTGGAGGTGACAATGGTGTTTGGTTTGACCTTGGCCACATGTGAAAGCCTTTGACAGGATGAATTATTGGCTCATAAGCCTTTAAATAAGTGTCTTTGTGATAACATATGCGACATAATCTTCTGGATGTCTTCTATATAGATATATAGCGGAAACAACATGAATGCAAGGGATACCATTAAGATCCCATCTCCTACAACTACATGTCATCTAAGCTATATTTACCACATGTTGATCATGTAAATACTCTCATACTTGAAATTCATAAGGTCCAGCTTGAGTTGGCATACAAGTCCTAGCTGAGATATATTTGATCTTCTCCAACGTCTTTTGAATTTTAAGGCAAATGACCCCCTCATGTTTTGACATTGTTTCCCTCTTCATTTGAAACCTTTTCATAATGTTACACCTTATCATTTCTAGCATGGTTAATATGGGTTTATCTCGGGCAGTCAAAATATAGCTATTAAAGGTTTCACACAAGTTATTTAACAACATGTCACATTTAGGGGCAGTACTAAACCTATGTCTGGCCCACTTATCTAGATCTTTTGACATCAACCAATCATATGCAGCTCCATTCATATCTTTCAGCTTTTTCATTTCAACCTCAAATTCATACCTATTTGATGCCTTAACTGCACTCCATAACAGATCCTTTAGGCCCTTGCCTTTGAACTTGTCCTTGAAGTTCCCATACATGTGCCTAACACACCATCTTGCTGGGCTTGAGGCACCACAATGCCAAATGCTCTGTCTAGTCCCTATAATCACAAACAATCAGTTATTAAGCTTTAAAGAAACTGAAACAAAATGAAGCAAAATAAAAAGTAACAAACAATGAAGTCACCTTTTGTTGATCGGATATAAATATCCAACCATGGTCACTTGCAGGACCAAGATCACCAATCAACAACTCCAAAAACCAACTCCAAGTCTCTTTTGTTTCCCACTCCACTGCAGCATATGCAATGGGATACGTGTTATCATTAACATCAACCCCACTGCAGCTAACAATTGACTTTAAAAATTAAAAAAAATAAAAATTGAAGTTAACAACTAACAAAGTGTAGGAAAAGAATTTGAAACAACTAAATTTTTTTTTATTTTTAAAAGAACTAAAAAAAAAAGAAACTGAAACAATTAGGCTTTATCTGAGAAATGGGTCTACAACCAGCAAGAAAGCCCTTTTTGAATGCATCAAGGCATACATAAAGCCTCTGAAAATGTGGAGGAGGCTCCACCCTTATTTTCATTGTGCTTCCAATATTAGTTGCTCTAACCTCATCACAATACTCTCGTAACCTTGAGTATTGCTCCTTATAAGTCTCTTCTATTATCTCATTGGCCTTGTTCTTAGCTCCTGCACATTGACTATCGGACAAATTATACCCTAAGTCCCTCTTCACTACCTTCCTCAAATGCCTACACTTTATATCAAGCTCATCCATGATACGATCTAAGTACTTATGAGCAATGAACACACAATTCACATATGAGTTAGTAGGGTTTCGATGACAAATGTGCTTATTAATAAATGTCTTGATTTGCAAGGTTTGCTCAAGCTGCATAAAAGAAGCATGCATTTTCCACGTGTAATTTTTACATTGTGCAATTATCCTCCTCTTATCATTTTTCACAAATTTAATATGATAATTGCCTTGCACTGCATAATTTTTCACAGCTTTTTTCAAGACTTCCTTGCTTCCAAATAACATTCCCTTCTCAAATTTAGGGTTATCCAAATCAAACTTACAAAACTCTGGAAATTTTCTCATTCTTTCACCTTCCTCATTTGAAGAGTAATTAGGAGAGTCAAATCCTTTCTCAGAGTTTGTATCACTGTCTTCTTCACAAGCAGCAGCCACAAAATCTTTAGGGAGATAAATATTTCCTACTCTCCCAAAGTTGGACCGAAGATTTACATCAAATTCGTTGTTGTCATTTAGAACAGCATCATTGTCACTCTCATAAATCTCCTTATCTGATTCATCAGCACTATCTTCAAATTCTAATCTTCTTCTTCTACCATCAATATCAATGTCTTCTTCAGTACTCTCTTCTTCACCATTTTCTTTTTCATTAAGACATTCCCTGCCAGCTCTACAGGAACATCTACAGTTCCTATAGTTCCTATATTAAGCACTTGTTCTACATATCCTTGGGTCAACTGTGACTCATAATTAAAAACCTCATCAAAAAATGCATATGGAACATCATCAAATGCTGCATTATAAATCAATTGTGGTGGCCCAACATGTGGAAAATTTTAGCATAACCAAATAAGAATAAAAATGCAAACCATGCATGTCGAATATTTTATGCAAAAAAATAAGGACACTATTCTTCTTAAAGCCTTTGGTAGTGAAAATATGCGCGGGACCATTGCCTTTACTTCCTATTCCAACAAAAAAAAAAACTTTTACTTCCTAAAGTCTTTACTTTTCCACCAACTATTCCACTAAGAGACAAACTCAACCTAGTACAAAAGACTACAAATTAGGGATAAGAAATAACACATGCAGACAATCGAAAAAACAAAGTATTGAAAGCAACAAACACTTTAACCATTGAAAGCCCCTATATCAATTGAAACTAAGTTAAATAATCAAGCTCTTTTTAACCTGGTTTGTTCAAGCTTCCACTGCCTTCTCCTATGCTCTTGGTCATTTTAGTTATGTAACCAACTTCTTCAATTGATTAACTTTTACGCACATATGAGAAATTTTCAAGTAAACCCTAAAAGGCCCAAAAGAAATCCCTAATTTCTGTTTGAGGATTCAAGTCGTCGTGTTACAGGGGATTTTACCTTAATGCCCCTTCACTTGTTCAATAACTAACGGCAACAGCTGATGCCCTAACAGAACTAAAAGGAATCTAACGGAAATTGAGAAATGTCATTGAATTGCTTGGACTCTTATACCACAGTAGCAAAAGTGACGAAATTGAAATCATAGGGACCTTAATGATAAAAGTTAAAAACCACAGGACTACAAGTGTCGTTTTGCCTTTCATTAATATTAAAACTGTGCAGCTGATGCTTTGCTGCTAATAGTTTTGATTTTAATCCAGGTCTGCATGTCTTTGATGACATGCCAGCTTGCTGACATCCTGGCTGCTGATATAAGGGTAGACTCCAGGCCTTGTCTTCTCTGCTTCTTGTTGGCTGGCTTGTTTCCTTGGGCGTTAGCCCCCTCTGTTACAAAAAAAAAAAAAAAAAAAAAACAGTTTGCGTTTTATATTTTTCAAAACACTCAAATAAAACGAGTCGTTTCATTTCATTTAAACCTGAGGGAAAAAAAAAGAAAAAGAAAAAAAAAGGCGCGATTCTTCCTCGCAGCCAATTGCAGACTCATCTGCGCAATCTCTTCCGGTTCAGAAGTGTCCAGATCTGGCGCCGCATTGCTCCGCCTCGCTCCTCCTGGCCACGCCTTGCAACGCCTCCTCACGCCTTTCCCCGCCTCGTTGTACTGAGTCTTGATTGGATCTTCTTCGAAACAAAAAACCAAAGCTTGATTTCGAAGAGATGGGGTACATTGGGGCACATGGTGTGGCTGCTTTGCATAAATATAAGTATAGTGGTGTGGATCACTCCTACACTGCGAAATATCTATTGCAACCCTTTTGGTGTCGCTTCGTTAAAATATTTCCCCTTTGGATGCCGTAAGTTTCTTAATCTGTTTTCTTTTATTTTATTTTAAAAGCTAGAGTAACTTTATTTTTTTCTTACGCACTGTTCTCTCTGGGTTGAATTGGTTGGTAAGATCATTATTTTATTAGTGTACGTGTGCATGAGCATGTCTATTTTTGAATTTTGGTGCTGAAGTCTGTATGATTAGTTTGTGCTGGGTAAAATCTTGAATTTGGTTATTGGTTATTTGGTAGCCTACATATGATACATTTATGTTAAGAAAACATCAAAATGGATGGGATTTGTTGATTGCATGTCTAGTTCTAGATAGAACTACATATTGTAAAGTTACAATGCCGAGATGCCAAGAACTTGTGTGTTTATCGCAAATGCAGCTATTAGCTAAGGAGATTGGTTAATTATGCTCTTATTTGGTATATTGAATTTACAAGAACGAAGAGTTTAGTACTTTTCTTGACATTTGTTTATGTCTCGTTTTTATAACTTGCTTATGATTTAACAGTGCTGGTTTAAGGTTATTTTTCCTGCCATTTACTAACTTATTCTTTTTCTTTGGTCTATGTGCGCGTTTGGGTTTCTGTGTTCTTTTTCAGGCCCAACATGGTATAATGACATTTACTCCCAACTATGTTTAATTATTTTGATACCGTTGCCTATTAATTGATGGTTATGCTTTATTTTTGGCCAGATAACACTAATGGGATTCATGTTCTTGCTCACATCTGCGCTGCTTGGATATGTGAGTGAATTTTCTTATCATCTTCTTAATTTTTTGTTAGTTTTCCTTTTTTGTTAATGCTTATATTTTACTTTTACTTTCACATTTATTTGTAATTTTTTATGAATGTAAAAATATATCCACTGGCTGTTTTGTGTATAATGTGTAAAGTAGAAAGTTGTTATTAGTAAGCTCCCATTGAATTTGCTTAATGATTTTTTTCTCAGATATATTCACCAAGATTGGATTCAGCTCCTCCTAGATGGGTTAATTTCGCTCATGGATTGCTACTTTTCTTATATCAGGTTGGCTTAACTACTATTTAAGCAGTGTTGCCTTTGATTTTTTTTTTGGTGGTGTGCCTCTTTACTGTTATGCATTACTATTTTGTTTTCATTGGTATTTCCCATTTTCAATCACTTGCTTGTTTGACCTTTTCACAAATATCTTAGACCTTTGATGCTGTTGATGGGAAGCAAGCAAGACGGACAGATTCCTCAAGTCCACTGGGGGAACTTTTTGACCATGGTAATGCAACGTAATGTGTTTTGCTTCTATCTTTGTAAAACAAGAGTTGATTATTGATGGATTATATTCCGGGCAATCTCACTGTATTGCAGGTTGTGATGCCCTTGCATGTGCGGTATGTGTCTTCATCTTTTCTGGTATTTTCATAGCCCTGAAATTCAAATGCTTTTTTCATATTCCGTATGTGTTTATTTAGTTTGAAGGATTGGCTTTTGGGAGTACTGCAATGTGTGGAAGAACTACCTTCTGGTTTTGGGTGATTTCAGCTGTTCCATTTTATTGTGCAACATGGGAGCAGTAAGTTGCCCAACCTAGTTTGATATGTTATTAGTCGTTATGCATGTCTGACCTTTATACTACTCCCTCCCTCCCTCCTTCCCTCCAAAAGAACAATCCATAATATGTGTAAGGCTGTTTATTTTGGACTCTGAAGTTATAATGTTTCTGAAATTTTCCATTTTATAATTGGGGAGTGTTGATTCACAATGCTTGCTTAGAGGGTTGTCTACTCTGACCCTGCATAGAATACTTTATATGAAACTTGGATGTTTTGTTAGCAGCACTGATATATTGCTTTATTGATCCAGTTACTTTACCAATACCCTGATCCTTCCTGCCATTAATGGGCCCACAGAGGGTCTAATGCTGATATATTTGTCCCATTTTTTCACAGCTATTGTTGGTAAGCTCGTAATCTCCTCCTGCTATTCTTTGTATGTAGAGCTTGAAAGTTTATTTTTAAACGAATACACTATTTTTTTTTCTTTTACTTGGGTTTTACTTTTTCTTTTCTCCATTTACATTTAAATTGATTTGAAATTGCTTAACCTTTTCAGGTTCTGAGTGGTGGGCTCAACAATTTGGAAAGTCTCTGCCTTTTCTTAGTTGGGTCCCATTTATTCATGGTAAGGCTGTGCCTATTTTAGTTGAGCCTACAAATTTTATTTCGCATTGAACCCATGTACAGAATCTACATTTTGCGAGACTTGATTGCGTGCTTTGATTTAAACACCCTTCTATGAATACTTGGTGGTAGTTGGCACACCTTCCATTACCTGATTGATGTTTTATATTGTTTTATTTATCCGAATGCGTTACTATTGAGTTGTAAGTGTTGGTCGCTGCTGCTTCTTGTTCGCTTTATATGCAAGTTAATAGAATAAGCCTGCCATACATTTTGCATATTTATTTCCAATCCATCTCTATATATATAGCTCAAAGTCTATTTAACATTTATGCATTCTTACTCCCTTGTTTTTATCAATTTCGGAACACTGCTTTTTCATTTGCTGCTTCATGAAAAATTCGTACTTCTATTGCAATTGGTCTGAATTTAATTCCTTTCTGTTTTGACTTCAGAAATTACAACATACAAAGCTGTGTTGTTTCTAATGGTAGCTTTTGCTGTTATCCCAACGGTCACGTTCAAGTATGTAATTCCTTGTTCCCTGAATTTTGAATTTGAGTCATCTTCCTATATTTTGTGAGTGACTCAATATAGTTTGTCTCCTCCCCAAACAATGCACATGATTTGGTGGACCTCATGTGTAAATAGTCAGTTGAATGGTAATGCTGTTATCTTTCGGATTTTTTGTGTACAGTGTGTGCAATGTTTATAAGGTTGTTCAGGCAAGGAAAGCAAGCATGCTATTGGCACTGGCAATGGTAATGCTATTATCTTTTGGATTTTTGTGTGTTAATTCTCGATATTTAATTGGCCTAATGGGTGTTCAATATTGTTTCATCCCAGCTTTACCCTTTTGCTGTTCTTTTGGGAGGAGTTTTGGCATGGTATGTCTATATTCTTTGTGTCCACACTTACCTTTTGTCTTCTTTATGAAAGTAAAAAATCAAATTATTTATATGCAGGGGTTACTTGTCACCAGCTGACATTATGGGGAACTATCCACATTTAGTCGTAGTGGGAACTGGACTTGCTTTTGGGTACCTTGTGGTAGGATATCCGTGTTTCTTTATATTTGGGTACCTTGTGGTAGGATATCCGTGTTTCTTTATAACCAAATCTGTTAAAGTTTCTCAATCGTCCATCTTGAATGTAATTGCTTGCTGTTGGTTCTGTGAGTGTCCTAGATTTCGAATAATGTCATTTTAATGGGCGGGTAGACAATCAAATCCTTTATTATACCATTGTTGTTGAAGAAAGCTTTGTTTTGGCAGGGAAGTATGATTCTTGCGCACTTGTGTGATGAGCCAAAGGGTTTGAAAACTGGAATGTGCATGGTATGTAACAATCCCAAAGCATTGGAATTTTACAGTCTGTTGAGGGTCTATTTCTAAAAACTATAGTAATAGCATGATACTTTTCTCCTGGGAAAGAAGGCTTCATTTACAAATTTTTACTTATGTGGGAGAATTGAATGTTAAAGTATTATCCAGTTATTATTATCAATAACTTTTGTATGATTTTTTTATTTATTAAAGACCAGATTAGATTACTAATTACAATATTTATTATTCTGTACAGTCATTGTTGTATCTTCCATTTGCCATTGCAAATGCACTCACAGCTAGATTGAATGATGGGTATGTTATATTTGATATTACTTTCTGAGCTCTGAATATTGTTCGTCTGTTCTTGATAGTCCTGATGTTTCTCTTCTCTTGAACTTCCCGTGCACCTTTTGTTGCAGAGTTCCATCGGTTGATGAGAGCTTGGTTCTTCTTGGTTACTGTGCATTTACAGGTACTGTAATTTGTTCCTTTGGTGCACGTATTGGAAATACATGGCACAATCACCATTTTCTCAAGACA